AGTGCTGCCGCCGTGCCCGCTGTCTCCGGCGTGGGCACCCTGTCCCGTACAGGTCTGTCGCTTCCTCCCAACCCGGGCCTGGGGTCCCGCCATTCGTATCCTGCCTGCAACGCACAGGATCCCCAAGCTCCCCTGGGCATCTGCGGGGGGCACCTGCCTCTGCCCCAGTCCCACTGGCGTCTTCTCACCAAGCTCGGAGCTGCGTCCCTCTTTGCCTTTTCTCGCGCGCGCGACCCGCCGGCCTCGGTGACCCGGAGTTCCTGGGTCAGGTCAGAAGCCACAAGGGACCCAGATGTCTCTCTCTGCTCGTGCACCCTCGGGTCCGATCTCTCCGTGGCGCGCGCCACAGGGAGGGTTGCGGACTGGACAAACACCCGAGGCCCCAGGAGCCACGGGATGGGAGGGAAGGTGGGAGGGGGCAGAGCGGGCATCAGGCAAGCTAGGAGGTCTGCATCTTGATGCCGTGGGTGGGGGACAGTCGGAGAGAAGCTGGGGCTTGCTCATTCAGGTCTGCTGGTGGCTGGCATGGTGGGGCCAGCCAAGGGGCTGCGGCCTGACACACGCATAGACGCCCTACCTGATCTGGGGTTCCCGTGATTGTTTGCGCAGAGCGAGAGTCTGGGTACACCCCTCCCCGCTGGGAACCGAGTCCCCACGTGGCCAGGGAGGGGCATTTGTGTCCTGGAGTCCACCGGTCCCCCAGCGATCCACCCCTCCGTGAGATCGAGAACCTCCTGGAACTTTCCTTGGTGTGTAGGGACCCTCCTCTCCCTGCCACCTGTTGTGTTTGTGTGAGTTAGGATGATGAGGGCCAGAGCCCTAGTGCCCAAAGTCAGACATGGGAACTGTTGCTGAGCAACAGATACGTTACAGGGTCAGGTGGGATGCACAGGAGCTTCCAGTGGTACCAATGACCGACCGTAAGCTGGCATTGGGTTCCCTGTAAAGTAAAGGACCAGATTTCTGAGGAAATGGGCTTGAAATTAATCTCCTTCAGGGAAGAGAGACCCATCTGAGCTCCTTCTCAGGATTGGGCGATCCTAGCCTCCCAGCCTCCCTACTTCACTTTACCCCGGGCCCTGATGCAAGCCGCCTCCAGAAGTGTTCAGAGGTGGAATGTTTTGGGGGAAAGGCAGCAGGAAAGGTGTCACTAATGACTGTGGGTGGGGGTGAGATGGGGGCGTGTGACTCCAGTCCCACCCTCAGCAAGGCAGGAGGGGGCCAGAAGCATACAGCATGGAGGACTTGACACTTGTATCTCCAGATGAGGCAGTGTCCAGTCATTTCATCTCTTCCACAATTCTCCATGTGTATGGACTTGCTTACATCTGAAGCCTGGGCTCAAGGAAGCACCAAGGTCCTCAAGATCATGGGCAAGTAACCGGGCCCTGCTGGAGAAGATGGCACTGGGGGGGGGGGTTGTCTAAGCAGGTCTTTAGTTGGACTCTGGGTGTGAAAGCCCCTCCTTCGATTCTCCCTCCCACAGCTAAAATGACCCAAGGGGCAATTTTCCCGTGAACATGTAATTCTTGTGAATAAGAAGACTGCTCTTTTAAAAGTGGCTCTTGCAGAATTGTATTCTAAGAGGCAGGCACAGCTCTAGGGCCTATTTTGTTCTTTTTAGCTCTGAGACTGATTAGGAGTTGGAGTGTTTGCTTAGATGGCAAGGGCTGGTGGCCTGCTAAGCCTCTCCTGGGCTCTGGACAGCAGTGAGGAGGGATAGACCAGAGAGAAATCTCAGGAGCCCAGAGAAAATGAGAGCTAGACTTAAGGTCAGAATGAGTTCAAGAACTGCTATGCAAAGACAGAGTCCATTAGGGAGGCTGTGAGCCTTCAGCCTTTTCCCCAAACGGTGGACAATTCATCTTCAGGGGTTGGTCCATCACCTTCATCCAGTACTTTTCAGGTCCCTTGTTTAGTCTTTAGGGAGAGGTAACCCATGGGCCTCTGTAACAGGTCTATGCATATTGGCCATGTGAAACGACATTTCACTGACTGGACCATGGTCCTTTTGGGGATATGTCTCTACAGGGGTCCATGGCACCTGTGAGCACGTCTTTAAAAGTATCATATAGATACTTCCTGAAATCAGCCTCTGTGAGCCAGCCCCTGTGAGCTGGCTGTAAGCAGCAGTTTCACCTACTGGCCTCCAAGGAAGCCCCTGTCCAGATGTCTGAGAAAAGGCTGTTCCCCTGGTTTTCTGATGAAGCCATGTGTAATATGGGCCCTAGCTAAAGCCATTCTTGTCCCCAATCCAGGGAGCACCCATCCAGACTAAGGACTCAGTGCCAACAGAGGAACTGCATCATGTACTCAGCCATAGCCATCTTGTACCTAGCACTGTCTTTTAAAGTTATTTATGTGGTATGGGTATTATGCCTTTATATGTCCACATACCACATGCATGCAGTGCTGTGAGGGCAGAGACCAAAAGAGGGCCTCGGATAGCCTGGGACTGGAGTTACAGACAGCTGTGAGCTGTCATGTGAGTGCTGGGAATTGAACCTGGATCCTCTGGAAGAGCAACCAGTGCTCTTAACCATTGAGCCATCTCTTCAGCCTTTCTCCTTTCTTAATACCAGATCTTATGCATCACAGGCTGGTGTAAACTTAGTATCTAATCAGGAATGATCTTGAACTTCTAATCATCTGCCTGAACCTCTTTCAAGTGCTAGAATCACAAGCCTGTGCTAGCTCACCTGGTTTATACATTGCTAGCAATTGAACCCAGGTAATCATGCATCATCCCCAGCCCTACCATTGGCCTTTTTTATTAAATAAGGTTTGTCATGTACCTCTTGCCTTATCTTTGCTGATGGAATAGTGTCATCATTGGCATTGTTTATGGTGTGTCCACGATGTGTCCCACCGAAACTCTTCAGGATTCTCTTCAGTTCAGTGGTGACTTAATCCAACTGGAGACATGATTATCCAGGAGGTGGCATGTAGCATCCTCTCTGAGAGCTGAAGCCTAATCCTTCCCCCTTGTTCTTGTGGCCCCTGCTTGGCCTTCCTGTTGCTTTCATGTACGCATCTTCTCAGCACCCCTCAGTGTCTTCTATCTCACCAGTTCTCAACATTATCTAGGTTGTGTTTTTAAGTTGTTCATCTAGATGACCGCATTCTTCATTTTTAAAAATCATTTTAAATTATGCCTGTCTATGTGTGGTTGTGTGCATGTAAGTGCAGATGTTCATAGAGGGCAGACATTAGATTCCCCTGGAGCTGGAGTTGCAGGCAGTTGTGAGCTGCCCAACATACATACAGGAATTAAATCTGGGTCTCTGCAAGAATAGCCTATGCTTGTAACAGACGTGATGCCTCTCCCGGCACTAAATGACTGATTTTTTTTCATGGCCAAGTTCTGTGACTTCAAAGTAGGGGGACCTGCTCTATTTACTCCTTCTCCTTATAAATATTTCATCCATACGTTGCTCAAAGATCTTAACACTTACTAAAACATGTTCTGGGTATACTAGTTAAATCGTCTTATTTTATTTCAACTTTTCCAGGTGAACCCACTGCTGATCCCCATCTCCTTGGTGCTCCAGGTCATATCCCTTAGCATCCTTGAGAGCTTGGCCTTCAGTGCATTGGCTTGTGGGGAGGAACATTTCGTTTTCTTGTTGTTGCTGCTGCTGTTCGCTCCTGGATCCCCACACTCCAGCCTGCCCTTCCTTGTTCTTCAGATTGCACTTGCCTTTCAGCTGTGCTCAGGAGTGGCCCATGCCTGCTATGGTTCAGATCACCCAAGCAGGCCCAGGTTTCTGGGGGTGGCATAGCTAGTGAATAGCTTGGCTCAGGTTGAGGGCTCCTGCCCCTGCGTGGCCCGTCGCTGACCTGTGTCCTCCAGGTACTTCAGTTCCTTGCTGGTTGCCCAACCATAGACACCAGTCCTGCCTACCTCCTTCTTCCCCAGTAACAGAGGTGTTTATTTCCTCGTGGGCATTTTCACTTTTATGAAAGACTCCAAACACAAAGAAACACAAAGCAAGTAAGAGTTTGCACCTGCCACTCATCTGTCAGACACTGTCCTCCCACACTGCCTCTACTTTCTCCACAAAGCCCATGCACTGGCCCTGTGTCCTCCCTCACTCTGCTTCCCAGGCTTTAGTTCTCCTGGCTCTGCCATGTGGTGGGCTGTATGCCCCCTCCTATGCTATGCCCACAGCCTGATGTGTTCCTGATGGCTGTTATGTCTGGTCCATATGTTTGCCCTCCCTGCACTAGGCACCTTCCAGACCTACACTGTGTACTAAGCCCCGGCTTAAAGATATCTGCCATTGCTGAGCAAGGGGCAGACCTTTGCCCTCAGCAGGCTGTACCCTCAGCCAGGTGTCCTCAGGGGTGAGCAGTGGCCAGCCATTGTATAGTAGAAGGACCTCTGGAGTCACTGCTGCTGTAGGGAGACTCAGGCTCTGCTGGGGGTGGAAACTGTCTACTGGGGACAGAATTCCCTAGGATCTCCTGTGGGAGGAAAGCCCCACCCTGGAGAGAGTCCAACCTTCAGTTTATCGGCAGAGCAGGCCTAGGGTGCCCCATGTGTTAGGTATGACTGGGTTACTGCAGCCATAGTATCTCAGCCTCCCTGTCCTTCTCATAATTTGGGGACCCCTGGGAGGTGATACCCACTGATCTTATGTCACTTTCCTGAAATGCTGCCCTCCAGGGCTCCCAGAGGTTTTGAGAGAGGGTACTGGACAGTAGGTCAACTCGGGGTGTGGGGGGCAGTCATAGGTTGCAGGTCATAGGGCAGCCACTGTAGTATCAGTATTGACAGGTAACAGCCCTCTTGGGTCACTGAGCCACCCATCCTCTTGTCCCCACAGTGGCTTCTCTCTCTCCAGCTTGTTTTCCAAACAATTTGCTTAATGCAATTCCCGACCAAGTTGAACATGACTAATGGTGTTTACCCACCACCGTCGGGCAGACGAGAGGGATGGCTGGAGGAAGGAATGCCTGAATGTGCCCACTCATGACACCCTCGTCTCTTGCAGAGACCCACGTGGGCTGGCACCTGGCCTGAAGCTGGCAGCATGGAGCCCCTCTTTCCACCTTCCACACCCAGCTGGAATAGCTCAGCTGCTTCCAGTAGTAACCATAACTGGTCGCTGGTGAGCCCAGTATCATCGATGGGAGCCCGGGCAGTACTAGTGCCTGTGCTGTACTTGCTGGTGTGCACGGTAGGACTGGGTGGAAATACACTGGTCATCTACGTGGTGCTGCGGCATGCCAAGATGAAGACAGTTACTAATGTGTACATCCTGAACCTGGCTGTGGCTGACGTATTGCTTATGTTAGGGCTTCCCTTCCTGGCTACGCAGAACGCCGTCTCCTACTGGCCCTTTGGCCCCTTCCTGTGCCGCCTGGTCATGACGCTGGATGGCATCAACCAGTTCACCAGTATCTTCTGCCTGATGGTCATGAGTGTTGACCGCTACCTGGCTGTGGTCCACCCTCTCCGCTCAGCCCGGTGGCGTCGGCCACGGGTAGCCAAGCTGGCCAGTGCCGCTGTCTGGGTCTTTTCACTGCTCATGTCTCTGCCACTCTTGGTCTTCGCAGATGTCCAGGAGGGCTGGGGCACCTGCAACCTAAGCTGGCCAGAGCCTGTGGAACTGTGGGGCGCAGCCTTTATCACCTACACATCTGTGCTGGGCTTCTTTGGGCCCCTGCTGGTCATCTGTTTGTGCTACCTGCTCATTGTGGTGAAGGTGAAGGCTGCAGGTGTGCGTGTAGGCTCCTCTCGGCGGCGGCGCTCAGAGCGCAAGGTGACTCGCATGGTGGTGGTGGTAGTGCTGGTGTTCGTGGGCTGCTGGCTGCCTTTCTTCATTGTCAACATTGTCAACCTGGCCTTCACGCTGCCTGAGGAACCTGTCTCTGTTGGCCTCTACTTCTTTGTGGTGGTCCTGTCTTATGCCAACAGCTGTGCCAATCCCCTGCTCTATGGCTTTCTCTCTGATAACTTCCGCCAGAGCTTCCGGAAGGTTCTGTGCCTACGCAGAGGATATGGTATGGAGGATGCAGATGCCATAGAGCCACGTCCAGACAAGAGTGGCCGGCCACAGGCCACACTGCCCACACGCAGCTGTGAGGCCAATGGACTCATGCAAACCAGCAGGCTTTAAGTGCCCCAGTAGCTCCTGATGTTGTCTTCTGGGATGTGAGTGTGCTGAGATGCTCTTGTCCCCAGGTCTGCAAGTTGAACTCCTCTTGGTGGCAGTGTGAAGAGAGCCAGCCTCTCAGGCCAAGAAGCAATTTCCCAGGAGGAAGCCAGGAGATGCTCGTGTAAACTGTTGGTTTGTGCTGGTGACTGCCCACCCTGAAGCTGTGCTGGGCCCTCAGCTACTGCTGCCTCCGTGTTCTGGTCAGCATGGAAGCCAATTGAAAAGTACCCATGTGTGCTTGACCCCGGCCTCTGCTCACAGAGCTCCTAGGCCTCTGCCATCTTGCAGCTGCATGTACTTTGAGGAAACAGTTGAAGCAGCTGGACTGGCCCTGGGACAGAGATAAAACCCTGGGGCCCTACTCTGGCCTTTCCCCGTCTTTCTCCAGCACAAGGAAAGTGAGGTCTCGGCCTCCACAGTGGAATGGGTGTGCAGGGTAGTGGAAAGTGGGAAGAGGAATAGACTCACCAGGACCCAGTCTATTCAGAGTGGCCCAGTAAGGGTGGCCCTGGGGAAAGACTCTACAGGGGTGTCCCTGATGTCCAGAGACTGAGGACACACAGGGGACTTAATAGCCCTCCTTCTCCTTAAGACTAGGACTCTGTTCTTGGAGAGTGGGCAAGGTGAGCAGGTTGCAGGCAGGAACTGCTCCCAGTGCAAACAGCACAGCCTGGAAAGACCTACCATGTGAAGAGAGTGCAAATGTCAGAGCCAGAGAGGGCCAAGTCCCCGAGGAACCTGTGATCCCTCCTCAGCCTCTAGCAGCTTCTCTACTCCAGACCCAGGGTGTGCTCAAAGAGCCGCCTGTCCATGGTTTGCTGGGGTCCCCAGGGCGCCCTTGGGCCTTTCTGAAGCAGGAAGTTAATCCCATTATTCCCCTGCTCTGGACAGCCCTGCCTGGTGATGCCTGGCTCCCTAGGAGGGTTCAGATGCCAGGCCAGCAGGCCTGGGCAGAGGAAGGCTGTGGGAAGCTGCAGGGTCCCAAATGTGACCCCTCCCTAGACAGATGCCAAGCCTGGAGGCTCATCTCTCATAATGAGGGTATTTGTGTCTGACAATCTGTCCCCAAATAAATTAGAAAATAAAGTGTTTGATTTTTTCCCAAAGCAAATATTGTCGGTGGAGCCAAGTGAAGCCAGTCAGATCAGAGAACCCCATAGATGCAGTGTCATCAGCTCCTGGCCTCAGATAAGGACAGTAGGGGACACTTCTCTCTGGAGATTCTGGACTCCGTTCTCAGGATCTGGTGACAAAACCCACCCCACCCACCAATGTCAGCATCCCAAAGAGGAGTGTTCCCAGAGGAAACAGAGGCCACTTTACCCCTCAGCCTCTACCCACCATTGGTCCTCCTGGGATTGTGCTACAAAGGGCAGCCATATCAAAGGGCTCAGGAGGGTAAGCAGAGGGATTAGGTCTCTGCTAACAATTTTGACGAAGAGGGTTCTTGACCAAACAAAAGTGTTCTCAGAAGTACAGACGTGACAGGCAGCCAGCACCCTCTTGCAGGGAGCATGGCACCGGCATGTGCCATGGAGTTGAACATAGAAATAGGTGGAGGGAGATTATCCTTGGCCCTAGAACTTTCCCCTATACCTCTGATCACACTGTTCCCTACCCTGCCAACCTGAAGCCCCATATGGCAGGCAGCAGCATACAGGCCCCAGCACCAGGGAGTCCATTCCCTTTGTACCCCAGTCCAGGGTCCCATCCCAACAGGGTTGCAGTCTTGTGACCTTTACCCATTCCACTGACCACTTGATGGTCAGTGCATACCATCCCTGCTCCCAGACCCAAACTACTGGTCCACAATGCCCCTTTCCAATCTTCCCTGGTGGTTCTGGCCATACTGACCCCATGGGCAGGCCTCAGTCAGTTCTATGCTTCCCTAAGCTAGGCTAGAAGAGTGTTCTAACAGAGAGAACCACGTGTGTGAAGTCTCAGAGGCCAAGGAGCACAGGCAAATGCACCCTCCTGTCCGAATAGGTAGGGTGTCAGGGACAGGTTGCAGCAGGAAAGAGGAGTAGGTACAGCCCCAACTCTTCCTTAAGAGTCTCATCACTGGTCACCAGCAAGTAAGGATGAGCTGAGATGACACTAGAGGAGGGAAGCCAGAGTGTGACTGGTGTACAGGTGCTAGGCCACCAGGAATGGGGCAGGAGGTGGCCTGAGCAAGATGTGTGAGTGAGATGCAGGGGCTCCCAAGGTGCTGAGAGGCTAACACGACATCCCTGGCAAGAGCTGGGGCAGTGACCCCAGGCCGGTTTCTGACTAAGGAGCATGGAAGGGCTGAAAAACATGTGAACTATTCTGGGAGGTCCAAAATTGACCAACATAGTTGGGGAGAGGAGACAAGACCCTGGACACTCTAAACGCACCTGTATTGAAGGCCTGGTGGGTGTCCAGAAAAGCCATAGGCCCTGGACACTGTGAGCACTGGGATGTCCTCCACTGCAGTCATGGAGAATTGCAGGGGTAACCCAAAGCAAACATCCTGGGGCCACTGTGACGGTCTGCTGATCTACTTTATGGCTCTGTCCGCATCAGTGGGTTTTATTGGGCACTGGGTTCCAGCGACTGAGTGACCTTGCCCAGGAAATCCGGCCTATGGGGCAGGGCTGAGGATGGGGAGGGGGACAGGAGATGTCTGTTTGCCTGGCAGGGTGAGGTGCAGCCTGGAAATGGGGGTGACGATGAAGCGGTTCCCTTAGTAGAGCCATGTTGCAGCAGCTCCTCTCGGCCCCCACCCCATCTGCAGGAGTAATGTCAGGGATCTCAGTGCAGATTCTGATGGCAAGGAACATTGTTCCCACAAACCGCCACTTTCAGGTGTGAGTAAAGATGGCAGGATGCCACTGCTTCCTCCTCAGTAGGGGAGACTTTAGACAGCAAGAGAGAGCAGGGCTGGGGATGTCCATTTAGTCTCTCCTGCTCCTTCAGGGCCCGCCTTCCATGTTTCCTGGGATCCTCGCTGTCATGGGAAACAGGGCATCTCCGTGGGAGTGGCAAGAGGAGAGACACTTAGTGCCTTCACCTGGAAACAATGGGAGCTTGGATAAGCCAAGATGGAGGGCAGGAGCAGCAGCATCCGATCCAGAAGAGAATACAAGGGAGAGGCCCGTGCAGGAACAGCCAGGGACAGTGGCCTCCACCCTCCCTCCGTTCTGGTTCCCTGGGCTCTCTATAGTCGGCACAGCTGAAAGCTGTTGTTGGGTCAATCACTGTCCCGAGTGAGTCCAGGCCAGTGGGAAGGTTGAGACTTGGCAGGCAAGTTGGAAATACCTGGCCCTTCCCTTTGATCACAGGAGAGGATACCTGTCCATCTGGCCACTGATTCTCCTCCCCACCGAGACCTGAAGCTTTTGGGAAGGAGCCAGTGGCCAGGCCTATTACCTCACAGAGTCTGTGTCCTCACTCCTAACTCAGCCCTGAGTAGTTGGCACTAGGTTTCCTGGATCAAGTTGGGGTACTCCTCCTGCCCACCCAGCTATGCTCCCCCAGTGGCATCATGTGCTTGCTGTCAGTGGATCACACTTCACCAAGAACCATGTTTATGTGCAATTGTTTAATATTTGTCCCATCACTGGGTTATCACACTAGCATAATGTTCCCCAAGGTTCATCTCTATGCCCTGACAGGTGTCAGCACACCCTGAATAGCGTCCTTTTGCATCTGGGGTATGCTTCATGCTTGGCAGACATATGGGTCATGTCACCATTTGGGCCTGATAATGTAGATAACACATGTGGCTGCATAAACCTATAATCCCAGCACTTGGGTGATGGCAGCAGGAGGATCAGGAGCCAGGAACTCAAGGCTTGACTCAGCTATTGTGTGTTTAAGGTCAGTCTGGGTCGCATAAGAGACTCTCTCTCTCCATATATATATATATATATGTGTGTGTGTGTGTGTGTGTGTGTGTGTGTGTGTGTGTATGTATATATACATATATATTCCAAAATCTTCAAGTCTGTTCATTCCTTCTCATCAATACTATTTTTACAGAGCTTAAAATGGATTTTCAACATATTTGCAATAGTATTGTCCACAATAGCAGCGAGATACATCATCGGATGATCAGGTGAGCTCTACCCATTTGGTAGACTATTACTCAGCCATAAAAAGAAAAGAAATTCTGATTCCTGTGACAATGAAGACAAAGCTCAGAAATATGATATGGCAACTAAGCTGTAATCCCAACACATGGGAGGCTGAGGCAGAAGGGCTGAAACTTTAAAATGTATCTTTGTTATTTCTCTCTGTGAGTCTCTCTCTGTCTGTGTGCGTGTGTGCATGCACACACATGCCTGTGAATGCAGGAAGAGGGCTCAGAACTGGATCTAAAACTATAGGCCTCTGACATAGGCTTTGGGAGCAGAACTCGGGTTCTATGTGAGAACAACAGCCCTCTTAACCATCTACTCATCTCTAACCTCAAGAATCACATTTTTGAGACCAATTTCAGATATAGAAAGAGACCCTGTCTCAAAGGGAAAGAAGGAAGGGAGGGAGAAGAGGGGGGATGTGGAGAAGGGAGGCCCACTGAGCACAGACTGTGATTTCACTTGCTCAACATGTCCAGGTGGGGCAGAGTCCAGGACAAGAGTAGAGTCCCATTACTAGGGCTGGGGAGACTAGGTGGCCACCCATAAACACACATTCCTTGAGCAGCTGAATGGAGGTGGTGGCTCCCCAAGCTGCATGTTAAATGCTATTCACCGCTTGCCACTAAATAGAACATGTCACATTGTGTGAGTTTCAGCTAATGACTCCGGATTTGGTTTTGATGGGAACCCACTCAGCTGGAAATCAAATACAAGACAAACCTTTCTCAGAAGGAGGGTAGAAGTATCACCAGGATGTCTGCACACCTCAATATTTTACCCTCCCTCTCTCCCTTTCTTGTGTGTGTGTGTGTGTGTGTTGTTGTTGTTGTTGTTGTTGTTTTTCAAGACAGGATTTCTCTGTGTA